GCAATTCTCAGGCTAGAAGTTGCTCCAGAAAGAATAACCATAGGATAATCTTCTGGGAAGTAGAGAAGGTAAAACGTGAAAGCTATCACTATGGAACAGTGAAGCTACCTGCTATGGAATGAATTGTAAATATGTGTTAAAGCTCCCTAATCCTTATAGCTGTAAATATAACCCTGTTTGGAAATAGGGTTTGTGTTGACCTTTTCTTTTTTAAACATTAATGAGGTCTGAGTGGTATCTTATGAAGAGAGCAGAAGAGACACAAAGACACACAACGTATGCCTACAAACCAAGGAGGCCAGCAGTCAGCAAAAATTAGCAGAGAAGTCTCCAGAAGAAATCAACATGACCAGATCAAGATTTGGATTTCTAACCTCCCAAATTGGGAGAAAACTTCATCTCTGTTCTATAAAGTCATCCCCTTGTGATGTTTGTGTTACAGCACACTAGGAAACTAGGGACTACCTTAATGGGAAAAAAAGAGAATCAAGCTAAGTCAAATAGCAGTCTTATTAAGAAAAATTTCACAGAGCTTGATTCTATAGGATCAGGGAACTTGGCCAGGTGTGGTGGGGCAAGGAGTAATATGGCCATCCCAGCTGCAGTGTGTGGAAGAGCGAGGCTAAGGACGGAGGGAGCTAGCATGATAAGGAGATGCTTACATAGAGACTGAGCATATCTGCACATTTAAGAGGACCTCAAAAAGTTCATGAAAAACTGGAATGAGGAAATAGAAGTCACAGGGAGGAAGGGGGATAACTATTATTCCATGGAGGGGATTGCAATCATTGAGATGAAACAAAGTGTATTTTGTGTAAAACGTAAAACTGATGATCTTGTCTGGAATGAAACAATAATGGAATTTTTCCATGAACTTTTTGAAGCCCCATCACATGGTAGGAGTCAAGTTTCTTAATGTCACAGGAAGGAGACCCTCCAAAAGGACTGGAAATAAACCATGGGTATATGGAGTCCTGTTGTAACACTGTAGGATCAGCACTGGTGGCTAACCACAAGTTCAGTGGTTCAAAACTACCAGCTACTCCTTGGAAACCCTATACAGGGTCGCTATGAGTCAGCACTGACTTGATGGCACTTCACATTAGGTTGTAATTGAAAGCACTGGTATGAAACCATGTCTTTTAAATAAGATATAGGAAAAGATGCAAGTGTATGTATATGCACAAAAGTTATACTTCTCACATTTGATCACTGAGAAGGCCTAGAAGTCATGGCACCCCATAAGTACATCAAGCACCCATGACCATAGTGTCTAAATCCCATTCTCCACTCAAAGAAACCAGATCTTCTTGGAGAAATGGCTACTCCCAAGGCTGGGATGGGGAAGTGCGCAATGAGCCTACGCTGTCTCATTGTGTCAGAAAGTAAATGCTCACAAGATGTGGACACGTCCAAAAGACACAGGAGCCGGTCAGGAGCTCAAACTGACCAATTGGGCAATTTGAGTATCAAAATGACCACAGATTTTAACACCATTGATTACATAGGGTCCTGTTAGTCTGTACTGAAATACTTTTAAACATCAATAAAATCTCCACTGGATTTGTGAATTCCATTGGATTGCTTCAATCTTAACTTTCAGATATTGATGAGCATACTGTGGCTAGCCTAGACAATGACCTTGCTTTTAGGAGATACACACTGAAGTATTGAGGAATACCAGGGCAGAATGTCTGCAAGCTTGCAAGGAAAGATGGATGGACAATGAATAGATGGATGATGTAATAGAGACAGGAAGGAGAATGATCAAATGGCATGTCAACAAATGGGATATTCAGAACTATTTCAGAAATAATCTGAACTTATTTCAAAATTGTGATAGGAAGGTTTAGTGTTAACTTGGCTGGGCTAAGAGTCTCAGTGGTTTGGCAGTTAAGACATGTAACCCTCCATAAGATCTGCTATGAGTGTCCTGGAGGTGTGACCTGCTTCCAATACATTAAGAGCTCTGGCAAAGCTTGCTTGCATTTTGCTAGATCTGGATTCTGCACCTGGCCCACCATCTGACCTCCAGTTGCATGCAAGTAAAATTTTGCTAAAAATAATTCAAAAATGGCTCCAACAGTATAATTACAGGGAACGGCCAGAGGTTCAAGCTGGATTCAGATG